GTTGACGAACCGGTTCTACCAAATAGGTGCGAACTGGTAGGAACCCACCTCTGAGTCTTTTTTTTTTTTAATAGTTTTTATTGAACGTTTTAATCTTTAAAAACAGAAAGCAAAACACAAGAAGAAAAAAACAAAACACAAAACACACATAACAATATAAAGTGATTATACAGCTTTCTATATCGTTTTTCATGTTTAGCCTTTATAGTTCTCCATTCCGCATTGTAGGAAGGCTGTCAACCTTGAGTCAGTCAGGATTGAACTATTTAATATATATTTGATGGGATGATGTTCACATCTGACCCTCCTAGAAATTTCTTGATACACACTTCAACATGCTTCACTCATCCCCCCCCCCCCAGAAATACCTCTTACATACACCCCAGCCACAACTAAGCAGCAGAACAGGATATGGGGAGAGGGGGGCAATATATGCATACACTAAATTAAAAATGTCAGGGCAGGTAGGGAATAATATGAGTATTGTTTTGCTTAGAATTAATTACTTCCACAAGGAATGTGGAAGTAATTCTATGTCCTCTAGGAATAAACAGGGTGAACATTTAAAGATACCTGCTGGATTAGTCCAAAAATCAATTTAATCCTGTATTATTTTATTGTAGCAAGTTAAATTATCTATAGGGAAAACCTCTATAAGTCTTGTTTGTTAGAGTAAATACAGAGCTCTGAACTTTGCATTCTTATGAATCAGAGTTGTACATCGTTTCTCTCAATATATTGCCTTTGTTGGTTTTTAATACCATTTTTGACATACATTGAGTGGTTTGAAAAACTACATAAACTGATGCAGCTGATTTCACAGAACAGAGCAGAATTAAGGCGGGCAATACCCGACGTAGAGATGGAGTTCTATGTTCATCTGTCCAAAGCAAAATAAGATTTTAGAACTAGTTGCATCTTCGGATACGGGAACTGTCCCAGTTATTTATGTAGCTAAAGAAGATGCACAATGAAATTATGCAAATCTTTTATTATAAGCTGGGACGTCAATGGCTCCTAACATAGGCAGAGAGGTGATTAAAAGCATCCTATGGCTCTGTTGGCAAGGCAGGTTGAGTAAAGGCACATTAAATATAAAAAGGACCCTTTTTGGACAGAATCGGGTTTGGGGGGGAAAAAAAAAAATCTTCAGGAGCGGGCTGCTGTCGCGCGTGAGCGAGGAAGCCTGCCCGCATCCGTGCACGAGGCAGCGACAGCCGCTCTCCTTCCATCACGCATGCGCGTCACCATGGGCAAAAGGAGGACAAGCGCGTTCTCTCAGTTCTCCGACACGCCCCTTCCTCTCAAACTCCAGTCACACCCCCCTTCGGGACCTTGGCGCTCGGCCACGCCCCCTCCCGCCTGTGACCCGAGCAGAGGCGGCTTCTCCTCCGTCAACACCACACCCCGTTCCAATGCCACGCCCCTCGGCGTCCCCACCCATCCCGACTGACCTGGGCAGCAAACGGCGGTTGGAGAAAGCCCAGGAGGGTAGCGTGAGGGGAGAGGAGGGGAAGGGAACAGGGGGGGAGAGAAAGGCGTCGAGCAGAGCGCGCGTGCGACGGCGTCCGCGAGCGGAGCCAGGAGTGACCGACCGACCGACCGCCTGCCTGCCAGCCTTTGAGGGGGAGGGGTAGCCTGCGAACAGCATGGCGGCTGGGCGCGAGCCCCCGCCGCCGCCTCCTCCTCCTCGTCATCATCATCTTCCTCGGTTCCCTGCCAGCCCCCTGGCCACCGCCGCTCGAGCGTCGAGGCCCACCGACCTCCTTCTCCCTCTGCCCCGCTGACTGACCGAAGAGGGAAAAGAAAAGAGGCACAGGGGAAGGAAGGAAGGAAGGAAAGAAGCCTCGCCCTACCCGGCCCATCCCGGCCATGGAGCTCGCCAAGCCGGTTTTCCCCGCGCTGCCGCAGCCCAAAGAGGACTCCGAGGTGAGCGAGAGCCGTTCGCCCAGAAGGCGGCACCTTGGAGCGCAGCCTTCGTCGCCCGTTGGGGTGAAACCTCTCGAATCCCCTCCCCGGCTGAAAACTGGGGAAGGCGCCTTCGCTCGCGTGCTCTTCCGCGCCCGCCCGCAGCTCTATTTCAAAGCCCCAACGCGCACAGGTGTTCCACTTGCTAGGCAGGTGGCGGGAAGCAGAATCTCCTTGTATTTGCTCGGCTGCGTTAAATAAACATTCCCTCGCGGGTCACAGGGTTTGTTTGGAGAGCCCGTCCTCCTGCCTTTTAAATATCCTGTTGCCTGTAAGAGGAGGAGTGACAGGAAGGGAGCCTCGGTCAAGAGGACGCGTCTGTTATTCCTGCATGGTTTGATTCCCCCCCCCCCTTTCAGCATGTTTCTCAACGCGACAGACTAGACTAAAGAGGTGGAGTGTCTTAGTTTAGCCTTTCGGTGTAGATGAGGAGAATCAGATTGGTGCCATGTAGTATCTTAACGGAACCCGCACACCCATTTAATGACATGCAGGCACACAGCACTACCACCATCTAGAGTTGTTCTATGAGAAAACCCCTATTAGGGAATTTGCTTAAAGCAGTTTGGAGGGGGTTGTCATTATGCAGGTATCCCCCCCCATTCCTTTTAACATCTTACATAAAATGATCCAGTTGTGCCCCCCAAATCTTATTTTAATTAATCAGTTGAAAATTGACACTACAGTTCCTTGTCACTTTTAAGATAGGAAACATGCCAAAATTGCATTGTGAAGTGTGTCTGCTACCATAGTCACTCAAAGGTTGCCCATCCTTTTGACATGCTTAAGTATCTTATATTGTTCCTGCTCGCATTTCTATGCTTCCCTTTATATCTATCTCTATTGAATGCTATCACAGCAGGGGATAGCATAGCATTCTGACTAATCTTGAAGAAGCTGTGAACTTTCTAATCACTTTAAATATTAGCTACTTAACTTTCATACTCAAGGAACTGGAATAGCATATATGCTGTTTTGGTCTTGCAGATAAGATTGGTATGCCTATTCATTTCCTTCCAAATTGTTTTGAAATGCATAATTTTGTAACAGTTGTACAAAAAATTTTAAAACAATTGTAACAAAAAATTAAAAAAAAAACATTATAGTGGCATAGATGATTACACAAACTTTCTTTAATTACCAGAACTGTGGGGACTAAATCTTTATAAATTTACATTTTAAAAAATATAGGATAGAATATTGCAATCCGCTGATCAAAATTATAGTGTAAAAAAACCTGCATTGGTCCACAGGAAGGGGGGGAAATCCAAATGTAGATTGTTAATTCCTTTATTGGGACCAGCCAGAATTGTTTTCCATGCCATTTAATGGTGAAGAACTCAGAGCTTGCATGCTCTTTTCTGCTATTTTGATTGGCCCTAATTATGATATTGTCCAACTGTGGATTTTGGGTAAATGTTATAATAGCCAAGAGGCATAATTTTCAGTTAAGTCAAATTTAACAAGCAAGCAGTTGAACTCAGTACAATTGGTAGAAATAGGTCTGACTGACTGCTTTGTCTCTCTACCTTTTGATGGAGACTGCTAAAAAATTATGATGAATATGGTTCTGCAAGATTTGGACCTAAATGGCAGTTGGTTAGAAGATAGAATGTGCATGGGAATTTTACTTTTTTTTAATGTAACTCCAGATAAATTCACTCCAGATATTGGACTAGATATTTATGAACCAAGTCAGCAAGGGAAGTCAGTAGAGGGTACTAACTTACCATTATTCTAATATTGGCAGTTCATGCAATATATCTAATGAAAATCCATAATTAGCATTTTCTGCATATTAGATGAAAGTCTAATGTATATTTGCAATTGGAAATAGGATTTTTCAACACACACACCCAGTGAAGCCTATATGAGATTAAACCTATATTTAATCTTACTATTTTAGTGAGTAATAACTTTTGAGAAGAGACAACACAGATTGGATTTTCCATTGTGGACTTTGTCCATTATTTAGAGCAAAGTCCATTATTGCCTGAAATTAAGGCATTGCCTTAGATCTAATGTAGTTCCTCTTAAAATGCTAGCCTTTAAATTGAGGCTTAACATTTTAGCCAATTTCAGATGGTTATTGTGTTCTCACAAGAACACCATATTTGTTATTAAAAGCAGATTTCTGTTTCTAATTTTTAATCAGTGATACTATAAAATTAATTTCTACTCTAGCTTCTTTCAACGCCACGCTACAGCTGAATTCCATATATTCAAAATACTCTGGATGAAGTTTATTATTTCTGTTTCAAGCTCAAAATCCTGTATTTGCAGTATAGTCAGCATTGGAACACTATGAGTAAGGTCAGAATTGTGGCAAACTGAAAATGGCCTTTTAAGTTTAGAGTTTAAACCATTTCAAATTTGAAACATTTTGCATTAGGGTTTTCAAATAGATGTTAGTTTCTATAGAATTGTGGAGATCTGTTTTCGAGGCAACTAGTATCCATTAAGACTTGGGCAGCTTAGAGTATGCATCTCAAACCAATTCTCAGGATAATATTTTATGATAAATTAGTTTTTTTGCAAGAATCAAGTCATATTGAGGATCCAAATTAAGGCTTTAGTCTATTACTTTCTGATTAATGTGATTCTCTTTGTGGTAGTCTATAGGAGAATATTATCTATTTCTTTGTCTGAATTTCTCACTCTAGGAGGAAGGACATATGTCATTTTGTTCATAATTCATATTCCAGCCAGGTCTTGCAAAGTAATGGTTATAGTGAATATGATAGTCTGCTTTTTCTGCTGCTGCTTTTTAATAACTGTATTTCATCAGCTTGGCTGTATATTTAAATGCCTTCTACTTGTGTCTCAAATAAATGCTCCGCAAGACTATACTCTACATTTTCATCTCTGTTGTTATTACTAAAACATATAATTTGCTGTTCGCTATCTTATATTAAGCATTTCAAAATATTTATATTGCAATACTGCTCTCCGCTCTAATGACAGAGAATCTTAAGATTTATTTACTTATTAAATTTCTATGCAGTTTTGTTCACTAAAAGTAATATCAGATGAACTATTATAGAGTAGTGTGCGCTTTTTATTAGCACAAATATTCCAGCTAATCTGGTTTTTTATTGTATATCGGCCAGACATTTGCAGTTTGTGGGGAATCAGTGCTCTTTTTCAATTGCTACCTGTTTTGTAGTATTTATTTAATGTAATGCTTAAATGCTGTTCTGGTGTAGAATCTCTATATTGGTCTTCACTGAGCATGTATATGGGCAGCAAATTGATGTACAAATTGAACCAATTCAAAATAAGGGAAAAGTTCCTATATGTCACAACATTTTGTTTGTTTTCTTTTAACATTCTTTTAACATTTCTAATTTAAGAAATGGATTATTTAAGCTAGGGAGGCATAACTGGATTTAAACATTGCTCTAAAATATGTGTGGCTTATTTGTAGCTTATTGTGTTACATGTTGATGTTGAGACTTATAAAGTAAGGTTTATTTAATTTGTTAATATGATTTTAGTCAGTTATGATAAAGTGATGCATAATAATGATGGTTTAGCACAAAATGTGCACTAGGCCTGTTACTAGTAATATTTCACTCAAGGCCTTGACTTGTAGAGAAAGTGATTAGGTAGATAGTGGGAGATGTGACTTATTATATTTAGAAAATTAAATTTCTGGAAATCTTTCAATTAACAACACATAGTCTTAACATTCTTAATATTGCATTTCCTCTTTAAAACATTTTCCAGGGTTATTTACATGTTTCTTTTCTTCCCATAACTGTTCTGAACCACTAATATTTCAACAGGGTTGAGGGTTTTTTTTCTTTTTCTTTTTTCCTTTTTTTTTTTGCAAATTGGTAATAGTATATAATGTTGAAGTTTAGCTGGGATTCAGTGTCCAGATTGTATTTTGCTTCATGTACAAATGAGGATTTTTTATGCCATTACAGTCCTCATAAATATATAAAATATTTTCCAGGATAACTGTAGTAATGAAAAATTATAAGATCAAACCTAAACTTTGCTAGCTTATTTAACCTGTCATTTTCATCTTGCATTTTTTTCCAGAACCTCACTATTTTGACTGGTCTAATATTCAAATGAGAAAATGTGTTTTATTTCTTCCACTTAGGATTGGACATATCCAATGAGAAGAGAGATGCAGGTATGAAAGTTTTATTTACCAGGTATTTGGGCTGCTGCAGGGCTTTAGCAACTTCAAGAACATGTATGCTGACATCTAACATTAGGCAATGAAGAAATTGATTTGGAAAATTCATTTCATGTTTGTTACATATTGCAAACCATAAATAAAGGGGTGGGGGAAATCCCAGCAACACTAAGGAAGGATGGTTTCTATAAAATGTCTGGGAAATTGTCCTAAAAATAGCTTTTTATTATCTACTTATTACTGTAGATTTGTAACCAAGAAGTTCAGGGTGGCAAAGGATTACAATATATTATTATTCTTTTGAAATATACCTAATTGAAAGAGCTACAGACTCTAGACCCTAATCTGGCCTTTTCTTCTGAGCTCTACAAATAATTGCTAATCTAGGCTATTCCAATAATCACTACTTCTGCCAGTCCTGAACATTATATATTCTGTACACATTTCTGTCACTCTGTTCTCTGAATTCAGAGGACTGGAATATAGCTAGGTACTCAAGCTTTGTTATTAAGAATGAATTGTCTCAAAATAGTTACAACTATTTGCAAAAATTTCTCAGAACAGAAGGGAAGTTATCATAATTTAAAAAAAAATCTTTTTCAAGAATTCTAATCAAATCAACAGGTGAGGTTTTAGTTAAAATCTTAAGTCTATTTTTTGAACTCATACTTTTTTAATTGCCATTTCACAAAAGGCAAGTTGAATAAGATACTTAACTGCTACCAGAAACTAAATGAAAAGCAGAGATAAAGGCTGAAGTCTAATAGATATACACATTCCCCATTTCCCATCATAGTCAAAATATCCATTTGTAATGTGTACCAGAGAGATATGCACATACACAAACAAGCACAAAAGTTGTATCATATTAAAAAAAAGAGAATCACTATATTCTGCTTATGCACATTTTTTTAAAAAAATGGGCAAGTGTATTTACCTTAGGCATTTAATCTTCATTTCATTCCTAGCCTCTCAGAAAATCTGTAGTCCTTTGTGGATGCTATGTGCCCACTCTCTAAATTGGTATTTTTTTAACCTTAGCAACTTGAAGAAGTGTAGACTTCAGTCACCAGAATTTTCAAGCCAGCATAGCTATCTGGGAAATACAGAGAGTTGAGGTCCATACATCTTCAAACTGCCAAGGTTGAGAAATGCTGCCCTAAATATAAATGTTCTTTTTTCTGGTTAGTTGGGCACAATTCTGGATAAAGCTCAGAGTTCTCTATTAACTTTTTTGAAATGAAATACATTTTTCTAGACTACACTCCATTCTTAGCATGAAAGTTTCACTGTTAATATTTTGTAGCTTGAAAATAGCTAAAGGGCCTAGTGGGCACTTAAGGAGACATAAGCATTAAATTAAAGAACAGAGAATATGCGTTGTCTAGGTTGTTTTGCCTTTAACTGTTGCATGGCAGACAGAAACTCATTTTCTTACTTAAAGATGCCATGAAGAAACGTTTGGCCTATTGAATTTTCCTTGTCGACAGGAGCATCACCAGAAAAAGTATTTTGAGAAATGGTTCTACACAACAGTGTAATAGAAGTGTATTCATCTTTGTTATAAATTATCAAGTTCAGAGGAAAATAAGGTGTTATTGACATGAACAGGAAAAATAAAAGTGAAAATTGGAATGGGTTAAACATGTAATGAAAATTGAGACTGAAAAATATATATAGGGACAGTCTGAATGTGTATATTTTTCTCCCTTCAATTTTTTTAAGGTTTTGAATTTCTTCTATGGATTAGAGGATTGCTCCAGAATGAGTTTGAGGAGGAACAGAAGCACAACATATTCTAGTACAAAAGCAAACAGTTCTTAGCATTTTAGAAGTCAGGGTTGCAATCATACTTATTCATGTTCCTTTCTTTTTCCAAGAAAAATGTACTAACTAACTTCCCAGAAAAAAGAGCAAATTCATAAAATTTATAAAACAATTATTGTACTCTGCCTGAATTCATTAAGCTTGACCAAACATGAGGTTGTCATTTGAATTCTGGTGTGGTCTTTGGGCACGAAGATCAAGAAGTTTCTCTTGCAATATAACATGTAGTTAGGCTGTGACGTATTTTCTTTTAGCTCTGTGCTGATTTACAAAAAAATAAACCTGGCCTTTATAAATCACCTATTGGCTTGTGTTTTTCTCAAGACTAATCTTGATATTGCAATAATATAATTCTTATTACACATTAATGTTGTACCTTGTAAATTTTGTCTTTGTGTTTGTTTTATTCCACCAATCCACTTACCCACTGTTCGTTCTTTATCTCTCTTTTTAGGAAATTTTACCTGGCTTATTCTTAGGCCCATATTCTTCAGCTATGAAAAGCAAGGTAGATTGCCTATAACCTTTTTACGCTGAGTAGTTTACATGTAAATTATCTAGATGCTTTCCCCCACTTCATTGTGGATTTCTGTCATGCATTGAAAACCTCTCTTTTTAAGAAAACGTTTTTGATTTTGTATAAATATACAATGCACCTTAATTATTAGAAAATATATATACCATGCTGTTCTTTGTACCCTTTAAATATTGTTGTAGCATTTTGATTTTTTGCTGAGTATCTGATTTCTGCCTGGGGAAAGGGTATCGGAAACAGTTCAACAAAAATAAAAAATAGTTGCAGGATTGATTGACTTTAGAGATATTTATACTTCCTGCAGATGCACTGTTTAATTCAGATATATTTGGGGGTGGGGGAGATGAAAGAGACATTCTATATTGCTATTTTAGTGTAATATTTTTATTATGATTTTATTAAATTTGTTTATTGGCCATCTCATATATAACTATTAATTACTTAATTAACTATTAGCTACTAAAATGCAGTTCTATTGTTTTAAATTTTCTTTCTTGCTTGGTATCAGCCATACACTGAATTTTTCACTTGTTCATAATTTTGTTTTGTAGCTACCTACACTTCAAAAACATGGGATCACTCATGTAATATGCATAAGACAAAACATTGAAGCAAACTTTATTAAACCAAACTTCCAGCAGTTATTTAGGTAAGAAAATCTTAAATAAATTCTGCTTTGAAAACAGTTCTATTTCTATTGAAACGTTGTACAATGTGTACTTTTTAGGATAGTATATGCTATATCATTTCTACACTCTTATAAGTGTATTTATACTTCACAGTAACTGATACATCTTTTTCCAATACAGTAACGTGTTAATACATAAAAGTATTGGAAAGAGATGTGTAAGATTATCTGTTTTCTTCCTTACCTAAGATGAGAATGATGCAGAAAAAAAATTAGGTAAAATCTTGAAATGTTATATATGTTGTAGTAATGTACTTCATGTTCTATCAAATATGTCAAAAATTTGATTTTTTTTTACAGTAAACATTTTTAGTTCTCATAATTCCAAATAGTTATCCAGGTGACTTTTTAGTCTTTATTCCAAATGTTCAAATGTTTCATATGAAGTGAGTAGGTCAGTCCTATTTATAGTATTATTTTAGGACAGTAGCCCCCAACTTTTGGACACCAGGGACTGATTCTGTGGAGAAAAGGTTTTCTGCAAACCAGAAGACATGGTTTCACGTGCTGCCTGCATCCCATGGATGGGGCTTCACTTGTTTACATGGCCTGGTTTCTGGCATGCCGCAGCCTAGTCCATGGGCCATGGGTTAGGGAGCCCTGCTCTAGGGTTTTAGATGCAGTCATTGGAACGAATTTTGATGTAGCTTCAAAGGGAACGTGAGGCATCTATTCTTTCTTTAGAACTTGATACACAGAATTTTGCTAACTTCCTAAATCAGTTGGGTTTCAGTTACTGTTCAGTTGCTTAATTCAAATATTAGCTACAGTGATTTAATAAGAAATCTCATTCAGTAACGTATAAATACTTTTCATTGCAGATGATAGAATTAATGGTAATTCTTTTACTTCATAAAGAACATAACGTAATGCCTTCTGCGTTTTTTGCAAACGTGAAGCTGGAAACGCCAACATTGCTAAATGTTTTCTTCTGCTAGAGCAGGGGTGTCAAACTCGATTTCATTGAGGGCCACATCAGGGTTGTGTTTGACCTTGGGGGAGGGGGGCTGGTGTGTGTGTGGCTAGCTTGACATCACACGTTTGGTGATCTGTGCACTCTGCCAATGAAAATGGGCTCGCAAGCTCCATTTTCGGCTGCAACAGCCTTCTCCAACCCTCTGCCAGTAAAAATGGAGCTTGGGGTGGGGTGGGGGCCCCCGAGCTACCTTTTTACTGCCATAAGCACTGCAGGCCAGTCCTTCGCTGTTTCCAGGTCAGCTCCTCTGGCTAGATCTAAGCACTCTGCAGGCCAGATATGACCCCCAGGCCTTCAGTTTGATACCCCTGTATTAGAGGTTTGAACAACTTAAGCCACTAGTTTGTAAACCGTTAGCTGTACCAAATGTACTATACTACGAGTCAAACATAAATACCTGATTTATAACAATGCAGGCTACAGATAGTCCTCGACTTATGTCAGTTTCTTTAGTGACCAAAGTTACCACAACACTGGAAAAAGTAACCATTTTTCACATGACTGCTACAGCATCTTCATGGTGACATAATCAAATTTCAGATGCTTGGCAACTGTCTAATATTTACAACAGGGTCATGTGATCACTTCGTAATCTTCTGACAAGCAAAGTAAATGGGGGAAGCCAGATTCATTTAACAACCGTGTTACTAATTTAACAACTGCACTGATCCACTTAACAACTGTGGCAAGATAGGTTGTAAAATGGCAAAAATCACTTAACCACTGTCTCTCTTGGCAACAGAAAATTTTGGCTCAATTGTGGTCATAGGTTGAAGGTGGTCATAGGTTGAAGACTTCCTATATTTATCTTTCTACTTCCATGTTATCTATTGGCTGACATTAATTCCTCAAGATTTCAGCCAAAATTCTACCAAAGACTATTTGGAGGTGGTAGGAGTAGAACTTGAGAGCTGTTTTGAAGTAATGTAGAATCGAAAAATATTAATCCTCATTGCCCTATGATTTCTGAAATTCTCATTTAATTTAATTTTGCTCTATAGAAGTCTATGTCTAGAATATTTAGACTATTTAACAGAGGAGGGATCATCAGAATATGCAGTGGCAGTGTAAAAAGTTTAATCTTTGAGAGATTAAAATGGGAGTAGGGAGTAAACCTACTCCCACTTTCTCAATGAGCTCCTTGATTTAATGTTTTATGGCTGTTTAACACACTAGAAAATGAATGGTCCTGACTATTTTACTTAACACACTTATTTTAATTGTAGGTATTTGGTCTTGGATATTGCTGATAATCCCATTGAAAATATTATAAGGTTTTTCCCAATGGTAAGTGTCCATCATCATGAGTTAAATTATTTCATAAGCATACATTTTAGATCTGAAGGGGTAATGCTAAAGGAGTGAACAAGTATCTGTAATAGAAATGATTCATGTAAATAAACTATCTTTGATTAGAGTTGCAACGACTAACCATATTACATGAAACACTGTAATGTATTGATAAGCATGGCATATTATGACTTTCTTGGTAAACATGAACTTTATTTTCCATTCTGCAATTTACATTACAGAACAAATGGAGAAAATGTTGCCTTTTCAATATCATTCCTTCATATAGAACCTTTTCAGATCAATAAATGAAACATCAAATATACGTGATGTTTTATCCAAATGTGAACATTTTGTTCTGTGGTTTCAATCCTTTCTTTTTAATTTTTTGTTGGTTTATTTTGTTGAATAGCAAAAAGATTAAAGTAAAATTATTCACACTTACATTGTGAAAATATAGTGAAATTTGATTTTTTTCCAATCACATGCATTCTGTAATCGATATCATTCTCAGCGGTTATTTTACTGTGAAGCATGTGAGTTAGAAATGTCCAGATTTTGAGTTCCCTGATACAATTGATGTTTATTATGCACTTATTTTTATATTGATTCTCCCCAGTAGATTATATTGTTCTGGAGCAAGCAAATCAGATTTTTTTTAATGGAGTAGGGGATTTTAATATGCATTAAGCATACTAAAAAATTAATCCACCTATTTTCCCTTAAGTTCTGAAAATTGGTAGGGAATCATAGCAATGTTATTGAGCAGTTTTCCTCTGAATTTTGCTCCTGGCATGATCCAGTAGTAGAGGAAAATGCAGAGCCCATAGAAATTGCAGAATGCTGTCCTGTATTGTAACACCATATAATAATAAAAGCAAACAATTAGCAGTACTCTTAACAAACAACAATAAAAATGCTTTAAAAAGCAGACAAAATTAAATACGTTGGTCAACTTTAAGTCCAATTATAGCAATGCTATTTTTCCATTCTTTGTGGTCTATAATGTACTTGCATGCATAACTGAGTTAATGATAAAATTGGTACATATAACAAAAATTATCACAATCATAAATCTAAATTCCATTTGGAGGAGCTTGGAAGTGCCCACAGATTTTATTGGATTCTATGCTGATATCTGTAAGATGCATCTCCTTTTCACTCTCTGTAGTATTGCATTTAAAATAAAAAAAACAGGTGTTTGCATAATCCAGTAATTTTATCAGTATGATGCAATGCAAGCTGCTCCTTTTATACATGCTGCATGCATTGTCACAGTGAAGTTGTGTTCATTTTATTTCCCTCCTCAAGCCCCTATAATTAAATGTGCTGGGTTTTTTTTCAATTTAAGCACATCTATGTAAAGTATGTTGTTGATCTCATCTTGTTATTGCATTTCCAACAATTTTTAGAGAATGGAGGTAATTTGAGTTCCCTACAGACTTTATTGCATTCTGTAGTAATATTTGTGTGATTTTTTTAAAAAAAACTGAGTTTTTATAACTTAATCTATGTACTGTAGGTGAGTTGGATTATTATTGAAAGTAATCATTTTAATGCATTTTGATAAGTCATTTATTTTGTGTATTATACCGTCAAGAATCAGCTTAAATAAAATATAAAGAAGATAGGCAATTGCTAACATTACATTATTTTTATAAATAATTAATTATGTTTTGTGAATATTAAGTTTTTGTGCAGAAGTTACTTCAATGTGATATAATAAAACTGAGTGATTCTATCAGTGTAAGCATGTTTAATAAAATGGAAAAGGAATGGTATTTTTTTTTCCTTTAGACTAAGGAATTTATTGATGGGAGTTTACAAAATGGAGGTATGTATCTTAAATTGTTTGCCTGAAAATTGGACAGATTGTCGCTTCTTTTCATATTAAATATATAGAGATACAAGGTATATGAGAGAATACTTTGTCATAGAATGGCCAGTATTATTTAAAGGCTTATGTTATGTTTTTCTCTTTTTACAACTTTGATCACTTTGATACCTAGAATAGTTTAAACTTTAGAGAACAAATGGTTTCTTGCCAGTATATAAGGGTGCATTAACTTTTACTGTCATGATGCCTTAAAGCAAAGATGGGCAGTGCATGAACTGTACAGGGCCTTCCCCACCCATATATGCACCCTGCTCATTTGTAGCCCCATGGTATTGTTGAATTTTAATGACACAATGGATGCTTTGTGGTAACGTAGCCTGTTCCCCCCTCCCCCTGCCCTTTAGGTTTGTGCATGGATGTTTTCTTGGGTTGCAGATGTCTCCAATTTCTATTTCGACATTAGGTTAGATGGCACAATATTACAGTCTTTCAAAGAAGGCATGTTTCTGTAAGGATAGGAATATGACCTAGTGTTCTTATTTCCATTTTTAACCTGCCCTTCCCACAGTAAAATTGACAGCCGTGCCCTTTTCACTAGTGTCACTGGACGCTCTCCTCCAGTTCTCTAGAAAGGCTGAGTTGTTTTTCCCAGTGATTTAATATTTGCCAATATTTGCCTTAGAGGTTAATTTGAACAGATGACTACATGACACAATCCTGTAACCTTCAGTTACCAATCAAAGAGAATAAAGTTTCTTAGCCTATGCATTTAGTCGATCTTGATTTGTGATTTAGATCAGTGTTTTTCAAGCTGTGTCCATGGAATCCTATAAGAATGTGATGGGGTTCCATGGGAGACTAAGGGTGGAGCCATTGGAATGCAGCTGGGATAGCAATTTTTCCAAAGCATAGTGAAATGAACCAATCTTGCTTTCCCATGAAAAAAATTATGGCTGCAATTTTGCAGATCAAGAGCTTCTGGTTTTTTTTTTTCCATGAACAGATTCTGTCTCTGAAAAAGTTTATAAATCCTTGATTTAATTTCTATAGTGTTTTGTTTCTCAGCTGATCTACAAGATAGCTCATACTATTATGTGTATGTATGTTCACACAATCAGAATGTAGAGCAGCAGTTGGAAGGGACCTTGGAGGTCTTCTAGTCCAAACTCCAGCTCAAGCAGGAGGCTATATACCATTTTAGACAAGTGGCTGTCCAGTTTCTTGTTAAAAACCTCCAGCGTTAGCTTTCTGTATACAAGCAGAGGCTGTGTTTATGCTTCCCTTCTAATTGCAGCTCCAGGGCAAGTGGCAGCTGGAAGCAAGTGTTCATTTTGTCACAAATGGGATTAATAAACACCTTGCTACTATTTCACAAATAGATGGGCCAAGCATATTTCCCACTTGCTATGCTAATCTTACTGAGGTATGGGGGGGTTGCAATTTCCAAGAATTCTTTGATATTATGTTTAACCTTAATAAACACTCTTGTTAATGTTGCAGATAAGTGGTACTGTGTACTGTAATGTAAATAATATAATACAAGAGGAGGAAATGCTATATAGCCAGTGTAAAGTAACTTTCTTCATTCTCAGGAAAAGTTCTTGTGCATGGGAACGCGGGGATTTCTAGAAGGTAACAAAAATTCACATTTAAAAGAAACATTGATAAGGCATGTCCAACATATCTTACCTTGTTTATTTGTCTGTTTTCAGTGCTGCCTTAGTTATTGCATATATTATGGAAACATTTGGTGTGAAGTACAGGTAAGAACATTTACTAAATAGTCTGTTGAATTTCAGGATAGGGGATTTGTAAAATACTTAAGATGTTTTTAACTATCTTCAAAGCAAATTCTTGGATTCTTCACAGAAATTAATCCCCTTGTTTAAATTTAACTTTTGTGAACTTTGTTTAAACCATGTTTGTTTAATACGTTATACCACCACTATTGCTTTTAAATGTCCCATATCTGATATAGCATAAAACAAAATGCTATTTATTTATATCTGGCATGGGACATTTGAAATCAGCAGTAAATTTGCATATGTTAGGAATTTCATATGCAATTTCAATATAAAGAATAGTTTGAGAAGTTAAGTATGAAAGTCTGATACATGTTGAACATATTCCTTTTTGCAAATGTAGGCTTGGCTAACACTAGCACAGAGATTCTAATATATTGTAAGATCCAAAAGTGGAGATAATAATAAACAGCAAATAAACAACAAATAAAAATAAAAGAAACTATTAAGTAAATTAGAAACCAAATGAAATGGACATGAATGGGTAATTTCTTTTTTCTAGGGATGCATTTACATATGTGCAAGAAAGAAGGTTTTGTATTAATCCCAATGCTGGATTTGTTCATCAACTTCAGGTAAAAATATTTGTTCCGGTTGATAATGTAGATTTTATTGCTAATTCTGTAGGTAGTAATATCTTAATTGTCTGAAATGTATTTATGTCCAGATTTGAAAGAAAAGTATTCATCTTTTTTGGATGTTGGTTATATTTTCCGGTGTAGTGGGTTGTTTTTATTCAAATATATTAATTTGGACATTGAAATTCTGGTTTTTTGAATGTGAAATTTAAATGTTTGAAAATTTGAGTGGATAAGCAAACTATGTAAACTGTATATTACTTAAATATGAAAAGGAGTTTTATGATCATTAATAGAATTTCTAAAATATATGGCAGAGATAGTTAAAATTCTGGAGTAACCATCAATGAACTGTCATCTTCAATGGCTGCAGGTTTTCTTTAAACCACAGCTTTCATTCTTTTACATCCCATGTTCTAATACTGATTCAGATAGCATATTGGTGATTGCTTGAGCTGTGTGCTATCTATGTATGTGCAATCAGCTTCTACTTGCCTACTTGTTCTCCTTTCATTGAAATATTCGGTAAAGAGATACAGAGTCAACTCTTCCTCCAGAGAAGAAGCTACAGTGATTCCCCCCCCCCCAAGTCTAGATTTAATTTAATCCAGTGGAAATAAATTGCTTATCTCCCTTCTCTCATCCAAATCTATTTCTCAGTTTCCTGAAATATTTCATTTTCCCTGAATTATAATATTTATATGCTCTTATTGGTTTTTCCAGTGGTTGCTTTTTGTCTTAAGGTCTTGACACAGATTCCTGCAAGTGTTGTATAATTCTTCAAGTCTTCTTGTTTTAGGAATATGAAGCCATCTATCTAGCAAAGTTAACTATCCAGATGATGTCACCTAGGCAGCTGGAGCGATCACTCTCAGTTACTACAGGTGAGGTCTTAATACAGGGGTATAGTTATAGCTTTTTTCATGTATGCTGTATGTTCTTAGGATATTCACTGCTAATTTATGAGGGAATTACCTTCTAGAAACATAAAGGTGATGTGACAATGATTAAACAAAGAAAAGGCTTGTCTTTGAGTTTATACCATAGTGATAAGAGCATTGAAGCAAGCTTGCTTTTCTACTGTTGCTGCATCTGCAGATAGCCATCTAACAACATTGTTCAAAGTAATTAGTCGTATTGGGAAAACAAGTAGAAGTAGACTAAGTCATCTACTGCTGTTATCTCTCCCATCTGTGAATTAGATTCCTATCCTACCTAGTTGCTGGAAGCAGCCAAGTTGCTGTTTTTGAGGGAAGAGGGTGGTGCCTCCTTCCTTGATCAAAACAGCAGTGTGTGTCCTCCTCAATAAAACAATTCTTAATCTAGCTAACTCTCAACTGCAACTGTCAACTTATCTCACATATTGCATTGTAAGCCACCAAGAGTCACTTTAGATATTGAGATGAGCAGCATATAATAAAATAAAACATTCCCTTTCTAGGGAGAGTGGTTGGAGAGTCACTATTAGATGAATTAGTTTATCTGGACCTTTCTTACCCTGATTTTGGAACTGAGTTTGTAGAGATTCTCAGTCATCCAGGTCAGGGTTGTCCCAAAGGTGCTTTTTTTCAGGAGGCAACTGGACTTTGTTTTTTCTTTGAAGACATCTTTCTTCTCAGCCCAAGAAGCTTCTTCAGCTCTGAAGGACAGGATAGTGGGGAATGGAAGGTTCTCCAGTGCACTGCTCGGAGAGTCCAATGCTAGGTTAACACAGCCTATCTGCCCTTGGACTGAGTGGTGTTTTTTAGTTGACCACGCCTCCCTTTGCCTCTGCATGCTCAGTTCGAAAACTCAGTCCACCCATTAGGACTGTTTTGGGAGAGCTCCAGTCTAAGGTCAGATAGGCTGGAAAGTTTCCCACTTTGGACCACGTTGGATTCTCAGATAGAGAAAATTACATCTACTGTAAGAACTGTCAAATTTGCTTCCATTGAGGCTTCTGTCACTTTAAAAGGGCTCCCGGGCTTCCTCTGCAGCTGCTGGTCGCAAGCGCTCCAGAGGATTGCGAAAGCTCGCCCAGCGGAGGCTGGCAAGCGGCAGGAGCGGCTGGAGAGGTATACTCCTTGCAGACAGCTGATCATTTGCATCTTTTTAGCTGATCATTGAAGCACTTGGAGGTTTATCTGTGCCGTTTGGAACTGAGTGTTGGACTGAAACTATATTTGCTCTTGTTGGTGACCTTTGGCAGGATTGGGATGACTATGACTCCTCTGATTATGCTGGACTTTTCAGTGTCCTTTAATACCAATTTCCCATGGTATTTTGGGTTGTGAGTAGGAGAATGCTGTCTTTCTGAGTGGTCATTTCCAATAAGTGATGATGAATGGGGAGAAACTAAGCCCTTTGTAGCTTCATTGAGACCCTGAAGGGCTCTGTTGTGGCTATTTATCATTTACACAAGCCAACTAGGAAAGGTCATATGCTGGCATAAGGTGAACTATCTTAGGTATGCTGATGATCCTTCATTATATAGTCAATTTGGTGTAGTGGTTAAGATGTTTGCCTAGAAACCAGGAAATACTGAGGTCTAGTCCTTTTAGGCATGAAAGCTAGTTGGGTGATTTTCGCTCAGTTACTGTGTCTTATCCCAATCCATTTCACAGGGTTGTGAAAAGGAGGAGGAAGGAGTATTATGTTTGCTGCCTTGAGTTATTTATAAAGTAATAAAGGTGGGGTAGAAAAAGTCTGCTAAATGAAAATGAAATAAATGAAGCTTATCTTCAGTCTTATCTTCAGGACCAGATGGTGATCAAATGCCTAGAGACTGTTATATGTTGGATGAGAAGAAAAAAGCTTAGACTGAATTCTATTAAAACACATGGCAGCAGCCTTTGAAGTAAATTCAGTCAACAGATCAACTCTAAATAGGGTTGCATTTTCCCAAAGAAAGCTGGCCTGCAAGTTGGAGGACTTTGCATGAAGCTAGTTGCTTCAAAGGAAAAATGGAAGCCACAGCCAAGTTGGGCATATTATCTGCCAGTTTTAGTGTTCCTTCCTGGATCAGGAAGCACTTGTCCCCACATTATTGCATTGCAATAATGGATTATTGCAATGCATTTTACACAGGGGCTGCCCTTGAAGACCACCCAAAAGCTTTAATGCAACAAGCACAACCTGGGTAGTTATGGACACCTGGAGATTCACCTCTGTAACACTACTATAGGTAGTACTTGCTTACCAATTCTAATTCAGCATGCAAAGTTTAAAGGTGCTGAACAAGTAGTACATAAGGCGAGTCTGCATTATATGATTCGGACTCTTGACAACAGCTCACATTTACAGTGATATGATTGTGATTTGTGGCCTTCTCCACTGGCTTATCACAAGCCACGTAAATGGAGAAGCTGGCATGGAAGGTTGCAAGTCACTCTCAAAAGTCACTTCTGCTTTTTCTCCCAAGGAGTTCCTGGGCAGCAGAGTGAGTGTAGGTCTCTGACACGCAGATGACTGCCTATCTGGCTGTACTCATGCCAGTGTCTACCCTCTGGCCTTCCTGCGTTCATGCCATCCATCCTCCGGCCTTCCTGCACTCAAGGCATGCCATCCATTCTTGGCTTTTCTGTACTTGCACTGCACTGTCCACCCCAGCCTTCCTGTGCTCGCATCACAGCCTTCCCCACTCTCACGCCAGCCTGTTTGCAAGCCGCCTAAGGAAAGGTTTGTTATGACTGGAACTTGCAGTTTCCAGCTGGCTTCTCCATTAACTTTGCTTGTTGGGAGGCCAGCCAGAAGTTGCAAGTCCTGGTCACATGAAGCCCTTACTTAAAGATATGTGGTAGTCATTTAACAATGGCAACATTGACTACTGGGACTGCCACTGCTAAGGAATGTGGTCACATATTACACTTTACAATTGCATTGCATAGTGATGGAAATTCTGCTCCCAATTGCCCATATTAAGTGAGGAAAAGTGTACTGTGGAAGCCACAATGGCTGCCAGTTAGCTTCTGGATGCAGTTCAAGTTGCTGGTTGTCAATTTTATAAATCTTCATGGCTTGGATATCACTACGACTATGTTCTTGAGATTGACTCCGCCTTTCCCATAATATTAATATTGTGAACCATTCAGTGTCTTCAGAAATGGAGCAGCAGGTGAATTCTAGTTATAACTGCTGCCAAAGACATATATAAGTGGTTATGCTATGAATTAAGGTGCTATGAATTAAGGTAAAGAGAGACTTTCTGATTGAGGTTCTGAGAAGTCTGGGGGAGAGAAATGACTTTCAAGGAGATGTGTGTTAGATGTAAAACGAGTTTTGCACAGTAAGTAGAATATCTGCTTTTAAACTATTTCAACTACTATGTATGCTCAACATGGATATTTTTATATAAAATTGTTTCACATCTTAACAATAAATTCTGAAGGAATTTTTAATGTGCCAAATAAAATAAAATACTTAAAATGTCTGATTCTTATCAAACTATTTTTTCCCTAGAAAACACTTTCTTACTGCCTAATCTCTTGAATTTTACTGCCTGCTTCATAGGAAGTCTGAAACGAACACATGAAGAGGAGGAAGAAAGCAGCGTACAAGCAGCAGCTCAGAATGGTTGACAGCTGAAAATACCTGGACTTGTTGGGAGTTTTATAGCAGCTTCTAATCTTGGCAAGATGAACAACCAGATATGAATTTATAAATGGAAGATGATTCTAACTTCCTTATGCAAACCTGTTCCTTCAGTAGCATACAAGGCAACATTTTTAAGGTATTAGATTCCTTGACTGACTAGAAGGCACTGATTGTTTTATTGTTTTTTTTTACACTTTATAGTTTTACCCTTACCCCAAAGTTTTGGACTTGCAAAGAGGTATTATTGCAATAATGCACTTTTCATACTTGAAATTTATTTGTATTGATAAAATTATTACTTAAGCAAACCATGTGTTGGGAGATTATTATTTATGTAATTTATAAGAAGAGTGAAAAGAAAAAAAATACTTAAATTAACCACGGGTTGTATTTTCCATTTTCCAAATTTAGGCTTCAGGCAGAAGAAAATAGATTAAACTGGTGTGAGTATCTTGAAATAAAAACACAGTAGGGATCATCACTGATATATTAAAATAGAAAATGAATATTTTCTTTCACTTCGCTTCAAGACAAAAGTAGGAATCACTTATCAAAGTCTTCAAGAACTGATTGTATGTACTGTATATACTCGAGTATAAGCCTAGTTTTTCAGCCCACTTTTTGGGCTGAAAAAAGCTGCCTCGGCTTATAT